CTGGTGGGTTTGAACCGCCAGCCTTCTGGTTAGCAGTCAAGTGCTTTAGCCACTATGCTACCAGAGCTCCCAATCTGACATTAGTACTCCCTTTATCAGGTATTTCCTGGTCTGTGAAATGAAAGGGTTGGACGTTAGTCATCTCCAAGAGCCCCTCTGTTGTCTAATTTTACAGCTGAAGCTTATTGCAGAAAAGGACACAGTACCCCAGTGTATGCTAATCTCCTCCAGGGCAGAGCTTCTCAAACATTAATGTACATTCAAATCACCTGGGGATCTTATTCTAACACAGATTCTCACTCGGTAGGCGTGGAGTCAGGCGGGAGTTTCTGTATTTCTAACGAGCTCCCAGGTGGGGCCTATGACACTGGTGTGTTGACCACACTTTGAGCAGCCAGGCTCCAAGGTACTTTTCTTAATTAATCCTTTGTCCAAAACAACTGACTGCCCCCACCTCTATGTATTCTTACATGCGTAGCACAGCATCTATATTGCTTCGCTGTGATTCTTTCTTGATCCACTTGTTTCTCCACCAGCCTCTGAACTCCCCCAGGACATCACCGTACCTCTAAGCACAGCACAATTTCAACCAATTACCTGAGATTCAGTTTTCTAAAGCAGTCTAGCACATAATCTCTAGTCAAACTGCTTGGGTTTGAATCCTGGCCCCACCACGTATTATCTCTGCACTTTTGTGCAAATTTCCGATCTGCCTATGTCTCAGGTACTTCATCTTTCACAAAGGAGTAGTACTACTAACTCCCTCACAGGACTTTGGGGAGGACTGAAATATATTTTTCATGTATATATTTTTCATGTAAAGTGATCAGTTCAGGGCCTGACACATAGTCAGCACTTAATATTAGTTATTGTTATAATTAAAGATTAGAGCTTTGCAGAAAGTATCACAGACCAAAGGAGACCAGGGAAACATGACAACTAAATGCGTGGACTGGATCCTGGAATAGAAAGTTATTAATGGAAATTGATAGAATCTAATTAAAGGCTAGCTTTTAGTTAATTAAGGAGCTCTGGTGGTGTAGTGGTTAAAGGATGTGGCTGCTAACCAAAAGGTCAGCAGCTCGAATCTACCAGCCACTCTGCAGGAAAACGACAAGGCAGTCTGCCCTGTAACAATTTACAGCCTTGGAAATCTTATGGAGCAGTTATGCTCTGTCATATAGTGGCCCTATGATGCAGAATTGCCTTGATGGCAGTGGGTTTAGTCAACAGTAAGGTATCAATATCAGTTTCTTAGTTGTAAACAATATACCATGGTA